CTTAAGTTTTCAAACTTGTAGCACGATGTGCCGGCTTTAAGCACAATAGTATGCTGCGTGCATAGGTTGCACCTAAAAGCCCAAACACGTGTCTTGCCTATATCTTGTCGCTGGGTGACATAGTTACGAGAGGTTCTGCTCATCGGTGGGTCTCCCAGCGTTCCCCGTATGCTCTTCTGGTAGACACTGCGGTTTCTAAACTGCGGCTTTTTAATTTTCACAGAAATTGACGGCTCAGTTGAGGTAAATCAGTTTGTTTGAGACTTATGAGCTCAGACTGAAATCTGATATGAATAATAGCCACTACCAACAGGCTGTCAGTAGTATTTGCATAGGTTGCACAACACACTATGCGACACGGTTGAGCCCGATTTTTGATCTCAAAGCAAACATGCTCTGACTGTTCGTTAGGAATTTTGCTATCTAGTAACGACAGAGACATCGTGCAGTGAAATGGTTCTTCCTGCCCTGCCCTCAGACTGACTTGAGACGAAAAACCGACTCTGTGGGAACTTTGAGCAATAAGAGGTGCTGAGGTCATGCATTCTCGACCGCAACCGGAGATAGACATCGCCCCTTCCCCTGTCACTGATAAATCTCGATGTATGTTGGCTAATCTAAAGAAGGAGCGACGTTTATCCTTTCCTCTTTATACGTGACCCCGAGATCGCGTGCGCATTACTACTGGTGTGATTAATAGTTGGAACGTCACCGGCCACGTAGGCGCCAGACCCTGAATCGCAAGACAAAAAAGGAAATTCTCTCCCCCCCAAAAAGCCGAATAGACCAGAAAACTCCATCTTCCTCCGTCAGTATATATTTTCAAACACAGTCAGAGAGACCGCGAGGCCAGTATCCCAGATAATAAGGACGTTTGATGACGGAAAGTAGACCAGTAAACCTGTCTTTGTTGGTAATACCTCTCTGCATATAGCATTTTGGGGAAATAGAGGCTTGAGGCCGCGCCGCAGCTCAATGAAAGGACATTCGGCCAAACGGCCAACGACTGAGGGAGCCCTTGTGACCAATTACATAGCAACCAGTAGTTATGTAGGAGAGAACACTGGGGAAGAGAATAGAAACTGGAATAGCCACCCCAGGTGCGGTTTGGACAACCTGAGATTGGAACCCCGATCCTTTGGTCGTTGGCCGTTCGGCCGAACGCTCTAACATTGAGCCACGGCGCGGCCTCAAGCCCCCATTTCCCCAAAGTGCTATATGCTAAGAAGCATCACCGAAAAGACAAGTTTACACCCAATCCCGAAGTGTGGAACCCCTGGGGCTCAAACTCGCGACCTGTTAGTTTGAAGTCCAACGCCTTTAGCCACTGAGCCACAGGCTCGTTGCCCTGTCGGTTTCGATCAGGGCTTTCTAATGATAGAGGGGCGCTCACCGATTGTTCTAACGGAACTCACTCGTTCCTTTGTGCCTTACGGGCTCTCACTCTGGAGTCCAACCAGCAGCCGCACAGCGGCGCTTGTCTTTGTCGGTAATAACATTCTGCCTATATCCTGCGCCGGTGTGCGGCAGCTGGTTGGACTCGAGAGAGAGAGCCCGTAAGGCACAACGGAACGAGTGAGTTCCGTAGACACGATCGGTGAGCGTACCTCTACCAAAGGCAGGTTTACTGGTTTACACTCCATCTTAACTTCTGGGATACCAGCCTCACGTTCTGTCTGGCTGTGTTCGGTGCGATTACTGGTCGAGACGTCACCAGCTGCATAGGCGCCAGACCCCCTCGGTAATTCTGTATTTATCCTGAGGAAATGCTTTAGGAAATAGGCACTCTATCTAACCCTCCGATATGTATTGGCTGTGAGAGACCGTTTTCCAGAACACAGGGGTGGAAGGTATATCGTTGAATTCGCAGAGGTTTGAAGAAGTCAGGCACTAATTTCCAGCGTGCTACCAGGCAGCTGCAGACAAATTCCTCTTCATGTCTCCCTCATTTCTGCCTTTACTGGTGAGATCGTCTCGAGCATTGACTACTATTCAACGTGCTACTGCCTGAGTAGGTCGTAGACAGTTGGATTTAGGGTAGAACAAAACCGCCGCACTCGGTCCTTCCACTAGACTGGCTCGACGAATGCTCCTTCGACAATGCACTTCTCCATCCCAGCCGACAGAGCGGCTTCAAGTGGTCACGGTTGGACTTGAATTCTCACCGCGCCTTGGGTGTACAAACACATGAAACGGCGGCATAAAGTGTTGATGATGGCAAATACACGGAAACGGTCAATCCAGTATACCCCTTCCCTGTCTCTTATGCTTATTTATTCAAGATTTCCATTGAGTTGCCTGTGTGTATCTCATCGAAACTAATGCTGACATCACCGACTTCTCAGGTCCACACTTTTTCCCCCTTTTCTCACATCGCACATCGGCCTGCTCGGTCACCTGCGAACCCATCGCACAGAGACACCTGGTACACCAACCTACACTAGCCGCCTTCGCCCCCACTGCCCACTGGTCAAGTGCATGTTGTGGACCAGGGGTGTGGCGACACACCTAGGCGCGGGTCCGCTCGTGATAGCCACCTGCGCCCTCTGGCCTTCTTGGCTCTGTCTTTACATTGGGTTCAGGTTGGGAGTGGGGAGGAGGGAGTGAGGTAGATGCTGAGCAAGTCTACTATTACTATAAACTAATTTACGCGCTTCACATTGTTGTGGAGCACACGGAGGACATCGTCGGACATGATGGTCGAAATGTCATGTGTCCCAAAACCTCAATTTCAGTGTATGACAGAAATTTTGATTTCAGTTCTGCAATTCGGACATTGGTTTTAACAAACCAACAGTTGTCAAGCATGTGAAGCATTCTGGCAGAATGTATACCCAGGCAGAATTAAATGCATATAGATCCTGCACAAAGATCTTCTGCACGATAAGAAGGCAAAATTCTTCCCTAATCACTGCATTCGAAAAACGGAGAGACTAACTAGTGTGCAATCTCCAACGAACGCGCCAAATAGTTTTTGGCGAAAGTTGCTTTCCCGGGTAGCGTGAACAAAGATCAATCTGACGGAACCTTTGGGTTCATGCGGGAGTCCAACAAGATGCACGGAATTTGTGGAGCATTAGAGCAGAACAGTAGCCGGCCTTGCTAGTCCGTAATTGGTTTCGAAGTCCAAGCACAGCAGCGGTGAGGCAGACTTTCTCAGCGCTTACTTCCCTCCCTCCTCCCACACACATCTGGCTGCTCTGACAGGACAGGTGCGTAAAAACGCAGCGCTCTACGCGTGCCACACGCCGCCTGGTCCCCACAGCAAGTCTCACGAAGATGACTCGAATGTCATAAGTGTCAGTGGGCCATAAAGACTGCATTGAAAATGGGCTAGTGGGCCGAGTTGCAGCCCTGAGATTGACCCATCTGTCCCGTCAATCAATAGACTTCCAAGCCTCGTCTCCTAGAACATCGTGATAGACTCAAGCGCATCAGAGTTATTATTATTGGGCAGTTCTCTGAGGATGGATTCCCCAGCGCGGACCTCATCGTCTTTTCCCTCTTGCATGGACCAGTGGACTGTCCAAGTCTTTCAACCAGCTGGTGGTGGGATTGGAAGCGGCGGCTGGCACATCAAAATGACTAGTAGCTATGGCAGCGGTTATGGGCTCGCGCAGACCGTGCGCAGCCTGACTGGAGCGCGTCGCGAGCCTACGTTCTGGTCTAAATAATCTTCAGCGTAGCCAGCTATGGTAGCCGAATTCGAGTACTTGCTGGCATGGGAATCAGACAGTAGTGGCTTTAAATTCCCTGACCCGGGTCGATCTTCTACTTCTACTTGATGTTTGTTCAACTAGCTCATGAACGGCCATAGCCTTGGAAATACATTTCTCCTTGAGTTGATAGTACTTCGAGCACCGAGGCACAAAGTCATGCGAATATCCCATTTAGAAAGTAGCCTGAGATAGTAATTATTTCTATTTTTATACATTTCTCCACCGGAATAGTGAATTTAAACTTGACTTAAGAGGCTGTTAGCAGAACTGTGCTTTTAGTAGGCAGGATGATTGCCTCCATAAGGCTCTATATATGGCTCTTGCAGCATAGGGTAATGCACTGAACAGAAGTCCTGACAACCAGATATTTGCCACCTATTGGCAGTCGTTTTAAGTCATTCCTCTGCACTGACCAGGTGATGTAAAGCATAGTGGTTGCCAAGCACTGCTTACTACACGTCTGTCAGGATCCAGATGCAGCGTGACATTGGCTGCCTTGGTATTTGAAGTCGTCCACTGTCATCCACGGTGCCGTTGATGGGGATGCGAGCGCTCGGGGACTCGTGATGCATGACCACCGTTTCGTCTGTACTGATGGTCAGTCGAAAGTGAACACAGCCGGAGGCAAAGAGATGCACGCTCTATTGCATGTCTTCTTTGGTCGTGGAGCTGAATGCACAGTCGTCGTCGAAAAGCAGACCTGTAGATGGACGTGTCGAGGCCTGAATTCGCCAGTTGATTAGAAGATACCCATTTGTCCTGTAGGTTATGCGGATCCCCGGGCGCTCATCAAGGTAGGCCTCCATCAGCAGGACGGAGACCGTAAGGCTGAAGAGGGTGGGCGTAAGGACACAGCCCTGCTTTCCTGGTCACTGGGAATGCCTCGGAGAGTGCGCCGTTGTCCGCGACGTGCGCCATCGTACCGCGTACCATGTGTTTGAGTCACTCGGAACAGCCAAACTTCGGGATGATTTTCCACATTCTTCCGCGATTCATCGTACACGAAGATAGTGTAGAGGTGGGTTCGCGTCTCCGGCTCACACTCCTGTAGCTGGTGGACGACTTGGATCATATCGATGATTGCGCAGTGTCGGCGGAATCCACAATGACTTTCGGGCAGAAGTCCTTGTTCTAGGTGTCCGCTGAGACGGTTGAAAAGGATGCAGGCGAAAATCATCCCAGAGATGCTGAGTGGCCAGATGCCTCTGTGATTGTAACAGAGTTGCTGTTTACCTTTCAAGCGTTCCTGAAATTCCGAGGGAATTGTCCACAGCACCATATCTATCGAAATAACGCCGTCATTTGGTCCAGCAGTCGGCGGCTGCCGTGCTCGTAGATTTCAGATGGGATCGCGTCGGTACCGGATGTTTCCTTGCTGGAGAGTTGTTGCACTACGCGAATGAATTTTGGGAGAGAAGACGGAAGATCCTGGTCGATGTTGATTGCTACTTGGGGAGCCGGTCGATGGCGGAGTCGGAGATTGCGGAGGGACGGTTGAGGACGTTTCTGAAGTGCTTGGCCCGAGGTTTCAGAATCTGCGACTTCTTCATCATAAGCGTTGATCCATAGGGGCTGAGAAGCGGTGCATGTCTTTTTTCTGGGTGTCGCAGAAAAGGAATTCTTTAATTCGCTGCTGTCGGCATATCCCTGCATCTCATTGGCCTTGGGAACCATCCAGGAGTCGTGCTGTTCTCGCAACCGTTGCTGAGCAGGGCGGTGGCAGTGGTGGATGGACGCTTAGTTCACATCGGTTGGACGGCCGAGGTGGGCTTTGTGCAGCCTGTTTTTCCCGGTGAGCGGGTTGCTGATGATTGCGTCTTTGTCGTCGAACCTATGCCGGTGCTGGCGACTTGCGCGGCGAGGAAACCCAGGACGGTAAAATGAACGGCGTCCAGCAGTTGGCACCACTAAGTCTCTACGGAGGCCTTTGCATCTGCTGCCAGCGAGTCTTTCAGTCGCTCGGTCAGTTTATTGCTGGGATTCAAACGATGTGCAGGAAAAGACAACAAATCGATATTCAAACTATTTCGGGACCGCTTATCTTGTGGCCTCCTGCGGGGTTGCCGACGGGGCCTCAGTTTGGAGATGACGAGGCGATGGTCCGTCCAGCCATCGGTTTCGCAGATTGCCTTAGTCCCCATCACGTTCTGCCAATCTCGACTCCGGACGAGAATATAATCCAGCAGTTGCCAGCGTCGTGATCGGGGGTGCGTCCAGGTGGCCTTCTTCCGCAATAGCAGGCCAAAGAATATGTTGGTCGTGATGCGGTTGTGCTCTGCGCAGGTTCTCGGTAGAAGAAGACCATTGTCGTTGCAGTCCCCGATCCCGTGAGGACCCAACACTCCCCTACAGGCAGTGCATTCTGTTTTGATGCGGGTATATATATATAAGCCCGAAACAGTACTGTATCAATCTACCCGCATTCTCTGTCATCCCTCCTCGCTGCTATTATGACTTGGCCGACTTCGGCCTGGTAATTGGTTGCCTGTTCGTGACCTTTGCCACCCATACGGAGCTTGTTTGCTTCGTGAAGCCAATAGATCGGTGTGCGCCCATTCCTGATTGATAAATACCCGATCTGCAGCGACAGAAAATGACAGGTGGCGAGGCACTGATGAACTTCGGTTCGATGAAGTGCTTATGACCCATCTGGTAGACCCCAGTGGTGGATCAACTGCGCCAGGTGCGTCTGTGCGCATGTTTGTCTTTCTGGTCCCAGCTGCTGGTGGTCAGGGTTATGATTGGTTGAATGAAGGCACAATATGCCCGAAACAGTACTGTATCAATCTACCCGCATTCTCTGTCATCCCTCCTCGCTGCTATTATGACATGGCCGACTTCGGCCTGGTAATTGGTTGCCTGTTCGTGACCTTTGCCACACATACGGAGCTTGTTTGCTTCGTGAAGCCAATAGATCGGTGTGCGCCCTTCCGCGCGCAAACCTGCGCGATCCTCTTCAGAATTGCTTTCGGCCACTGATTGTTTATAAAGCTTAACAGGTGTCGTGGATTCGCGAAGGAGGAGAAACAAACATTTGCTTCCGGGGTTCGACGAGTAGTTTGCTTCTTTACTTCATCAAGGGCCTACGATACTATGGGTATGAATCACGAAAAGGCGTAAACGCAAAACAGGGACAGATCTAACGGAAAGACGGGAGATAATACACGTATGACCTTCTTCGTCTCGGCTGCTTCGAGCAGTACTGCCAACATTTTCGACGGTGTCGTTGTCACCGGCTCGGCGATTCTTCACAAAGTTGATAAGATCAGCTATGCTCCCAAGTTAGGTCGATGCAGATACTGGTGTGTATCGCACAACCTCTCGACCTCGCAGCACTTCAGGACAGATAGGAGACTGGAAAGTAAGGGGCAATATACGGAGTCCTGCGTGCAGTAAACAGTAATCTTGACAGAAACAGTGTTGTGATCCTCAGTGCCGCCTTGTTGGAAGCCAAGCCAGCGTAGGGGCAACTGACTATCACATTTTCTCCCAGCAAAGCTAACAAGTAAGTATCCTTGGCATCTAACGCACACACTTTCTGGACAGTACGCACTCAGGCAATCGCTACTTACGTACAGCCCTTTGAAGTCTTTCCTTTTCGTTGGAAGATTCGATCAGGTGATGCGTAGCACAGTATTTGTTAAGCACTTCTTTCCACCACTATGTCAGAATAAAGTGCCGTGGTCGAACCTTCCGACTGAGGTAGATATCGCAGTTTGACCACAGTACACAGCGTCGCAACTAACACATTCGATTTTGTAGCAAACCCATTCGTCAGGGTGTACGAACTGGATGCATTAGGTAGATACGTGCTGGTTTGATACTTCTATCTGATGTTTTTTCAGTTACAGGAAACCAGATGTTTATCTGACGCCTCTTCTTTTAAAATGCGGTGCATTTGGATAAGCGTTCTGACACAGGGCCGTCAGTGAATCTGGACTACCAAGTGTTCTTTCTCAAAAATAATATGTTATCTGACGTCAGTTGTTATTTGAGGGTCAGGACGAAATGCCTTGTTTTTTTAGTGGGAAAGAACAAACTGTCGTCATAGTATTCTAAAGAGTAATTTGACTCAAGCCGGGTTGGATGCGGATAATGAGGAAGTCCTGACAGAACACAAGATTGAAAAGCCAAATTGGCGAACACGTGTTTTCAGTAACTCTTCATCAGGCCAAAACGGTTACAATGAAGTTTGAGTTATGCGAATTACATGACTTATAAATGATTCGGGGACAATTAACATCGATCGTTCCCACGCCACTCGCATGACGAGGCGTGCTATGGCGTGGTCGGCGTGTCGTGGTCATTGGGTTCAGGAGGCGAGGAAGAGGGGGGGCATAGGCTGTGAGTACGTCGTGTACCTTGTGCACACACCCTGGCATCGGGAGGTTGGGGCGACGTTGGGGTCGGCGTCGGCCACGGAAGACAGAGCGCCTCTGTCCGAGTCTTCTGACAGCATAGCACTGGATTGCCTAGCCGTATAGCCACTGCCTCAGCTGTAGCTAGCACCCGTTGGCGTAGGCCTTTGGAGAAGCCTGCTGGTGTCCGGTAGACAATCTGAAAGGCTTCTTTGGCATCGACTCGGTGATTCGTATCGACAAGATGTGCGAGAATAGAACTCGAGATCGATTTCTTCTCACCTTTGCCTAGCCAGGCCGGTATGTGTTCACGTACTCTCTTTTCCAAGCGCCTCGTTGTACGGCCAATGTATCCCGCTCCACAGGAGCAAGTGAATGAATAAATACACATCGATGTGGCCTGCAACGGGAGTCGGTCTTTACCTCCCAAGCGTAGGAGGGGAGAGTTAGTGAAACACACATGTAAGTTCGCCGCGGGGAAAGCGCTAGTGATCGCTGTCTTCCTCGCCCCCTAACCCAATGAACACGACACGCCGACCACGCCATAGCACGCCTCGTCATGCGAGTGGCGTGGGAACGATCGATGTTAATTGTCCCCGAATCATTTATAAGTCATGTAATTCGCATAACTTAAACTTCATTGTAACCGTTTTGGCCTGATGAAGAGTTACTGAAAACACGTGTTCGCCAATTTGACTTTTCAATTGTAACATGGGAGTATTCGCTGAACTTAGAACACAAGATTATTAGCTGACTTTTCCTTGTGGAGTAATTTTTGTCAGAGTCGAGAACTCCTAAAGCAAACGCTGGTGTTCTGCGATTTGTGGGAGTCAGAGTGAACGTCCTACAAACAATGTAATGTTGAAAGCTCCAAAATAAGGACTTTCTTTCCAAGAAATGTTCTGGACGCAGATAGTATAATACTGCTGTTATAGGCCTAAAATTGGACGTAAACTGCCAACATAGGTGGATCAGTACGTAAAATTGTCTTCCGGGGTAAACAGTTCAAATTCTTCGCCGAATGTGCTCCCATCGTAATTACAGCGTATTTGAATTTTACACTCTCGCATAGTACCCTGTGGTCGGAGTAGACAATACGGTAAATGCATCATAAATCATCGTGAAACTCCAAGCGACGAATGGAAAAAGGAAATGCTTACTTTTACCCTCTGGAATGACCGCACATAACAAGAAGACTGGCCGGGGAGGAGTTTAAGAAAATATATTCGATCCTGACTAAAAGTACTCATTTTGCTCATTTTAAAATACCGATTGACATAGAGTGCGCAAGGAGTTAGGACGCATCAGGCAAGGGGGCCTCATTTTTGGTTACAGGTAGAAGTGCGGATTCACGATTGGTAAATGAGGATCCCTCATACTGAAGCGGTTTAATGGCAATAATTTTGATGATGGTAGCAATTTCCGATTACAGAACCTGAACATTGGGAACTCGATGTTTACTGAACTGCATTTGTTGGAAGCTCTACCAAGCATTTTGGGAAGAGCATTCCAACACCGATGAACATAGGGTGCGGACGGAGTTAGGACGCATCAGACAAGTTAAATTGCCTCATTTGTATGGAGGAGACCTCAATTTTGGTTACAGGTGGAAGTGCGGAGTTACGATTGGTAAATGAGGGTCCCTCATGCTGAAGCGGTTTAATGGTCATAATTTTGATGATGGTTGCAATTTCCAATCACAGAACCTAAACATTTGGAACTCGATGTTTACTGGACTGCATTTGCTGGAAGCTCTACCAAGTATTTTGTGCTGAACACTTCCGTGAGGTCAAATAACCCACTGCCCCTGGACTTCTTACTATGCTGATTAAATGAGGGTTAACCGTTTAGTCAGGAAGCATGGATTCGTTGATGGCGCATTTCAACGACGTCCGATATGTTCAATTTCATCAGCCGATTAGATTTCGCCTAAGTTTTTATTTAAGTCACGTGTATGCAGGTCCCCAGTTAGGCATTGTGTTCCCAGATTTGGTTTTCAGATCGATTACGTTCTACAGCAAAAGGTCGTCAGACTGTCAGCTTCCACATTGACGGAGGGTGTCTTTTCTTCCCTTCCCTCTTGAGTCTTTGCATCCAACCCTGCTGGACGGCTGTGAATTCAGCTACTGTCTGCAAAATGAAAGAGTTTATAAAACTCCTGCAGTTTTGAAGAATCTGAAGTAGGACTGGGTCGGCCTCGAGTCCCTCAAAGAGGCAGGGAGTTAAGTGGCATTGTCCAGAATTTTCGGACGGGGGGTTGCATTCGTCAACCTCCGTTGCAAATTCTCTGCCCTGCAAATGGTTGTTTTGTGTCAG